TAAATCCGCGACTCAGCTTCTGTATTTGTGGTAAAAGGTGAGAACTCCATTAGGCTTTTTATTTTTAGGGTTCTGCTTATTTCTTTCATAAATGTCTGCTGGAGTTAGTAAGAGAATTGGTAATTTCTTTGTCCCTTTCATTTATATATTTGATATTAAAATCTCCTTGTGGAAGTAATACTTACAGAGCTAAGCACAGATTGTCATGGTGGTAACTACTTGACTATTGATGAAGTATGCCTGCCATTTTCCTTCTGTGTGAATAAGAAAAAAAACCTTTGAGTTAGGCAGGCTATTATTAAACAAAAAGAGGGCTTCTCTTCCAAAAAAGCTATCTTCTTCATGTTTGATATATTTCTCTTTTCTGAAGAACATGTTGCTTTAATGGTACTAGTCATTTTTCTGGCATACTGAGACTCTTCCTGATGAACTCCATTGTAATCTGTCCGCATCTAAATGTTACATGTTTGGGAATTTGATTTGTTGTCAGAGATTATCGTTGGTTTTAAAGCATCCTCTTTGCCTCTGAAAAGTTGGTCTTTTGAGCTCTGGGAATGATAAAGAACCTAAGTCTAGAGTCCCAAGTCAGTGCTTTCCTCCCTTATAACTGATACACTCGAGAGTGTTATCTTTCATTTGCTTGTCTTTCTCTTCCCTATCAAGTAGGTGAGATTAGGATGTCTTATTTCCATAGGGAAACGTCTCAGATATAAACAACAGTAGTGTAACTAAAGATTAATCCTCACTTCTCCCTTTGACTCCTCTCTTCCAATCCATGTTATTTAAAAATCTGAAAAAAATTGCTTTCATCCTAGACGCAAATCCAGATCTCCTTCCCCTAGAAGACGATCTTCCCCTGTCAGGAGAGAGAGAAAGCGCAGTCATTCTCGATCTCCCCGTCACAGAACCAAGAGCCGGAGTCCTTCCCCTGCTCCAGAAAAGAAGGAAAAAACTCCAGAACTCCCAGAACCTTCAGTGAAAGTAAAAGAACCTTCAGTACAAGAGGCTACTTCTACTAGGCAAGTACATAAAAATTCATTTATAAATAATCACAATTTTAGATTAATAATGACTGCAAATAATGACATCTGAGTTAGTTATTCTCCTTTTAGATTTTTTAAATTGTAAAATTAGTTTGTTGAAAAGAAATTGTTTAGGAAAGTATATTTAAAGAAAATGCCCCAAAGGGTGACCATTACTATCTTTTGGTTAAATTGTTTCAGGTATTTTGTGTATTGTAACTTGCTTTTTTTCCTCAATGTATTGTGGACAACTTCGCACTTTTAAGAAATGTATGTGGTTGCCAGATGCAGGGGCGCATGCCTGTTATCTCAGCACTTGGGGAGGCTGAGGTGGGTGGATCGCTTGAGCTCAGGAGTTAGAGACCAGCCTAGGGCAACATGGTGAAACTCTGTACTAAAAATATATATATACACACACACACAAATTAGCCAGGCATGGTGGCACATGCCTATAGTCCCAGATGTGTATAGTCCCAGCTACTCAGGAGGCTGAGGTGGGAGGATCACTTGAGCCTGAGAGGTTGAAGCTGCAGTGAGCCAAGATCATGCCAGTGTACTCCAGCCTGAGTGATAAGAGTGAGACCCTGTCTCAGAAGAAAAGAAAATGTACGCGGTTAGAATTATTAGTTGCTCGGTTTCACTGATAGGTGTGTATGTATCTTTTGGAGCTAGAGACAAGTCTGTAAATTTTGAAAAGGTTTAGAAATAATTTATTACATCATTGTATAATGATTTAGAAGTCTGAGTACAAGAAGGCAAAAGAAAAGAAAAAGCTTTTGTTTCCACAGTGACATTCTGAAAGTTCCCAAACCTGAACCTATACCAGAGCCTAAAGAACCTTCTCCAGAAAAAAATTCTAAAAAAGAAAAGGAGAAGGAGAAGGCCCGACCACGATCTCGGTCACGCTCCAAATCAAGATCCCGGACGCGTTCCCGCTCTCCTTCTCACACTCGACCTAGACGGCGCCATAGATCCCGATCAAGGTGAGTTGTGGCTTTAAGATCAACAAATATCTTAGGTTTTATATGCTACTGTACTGGGTACAATTAGATAAATAATTTCAAAGCAGTAGAAGATGTTTAGTACAAATATTTTTTGAATGTACACAGAGAATTTGAGGACACTTTTCTGTGTACCATAAAAGTGTCTACATAAATGGAAAATTGTGATCCTTGAAATTTATTTTTTAGATGTAGCCATTGAGAAAACTAAGGCAAGAAATTCCTCACTCCTGGTTTATTCAGGACCTAATTCTGTTTGTTATGGCAGATCGTATTCACCTAGAAGGCGGCCAAGCCCAAGAAGGCGGCCATCTCCTCGAAGAAGAACTCCACCAAGAAGAATGCCTCCTCCACCAAGGCATAGAAGGAGTAGATCGCCTGTAAGACGGTAAGATTTTTAAAATTTGGAAGTGTCAAGTGTTTGACACTTCTGGATAATCTTTCTTTTAGGATAATCTGTAAATTAGTGTCCCTGGAAGAAAGAACTCATAGGTGATATTAGACAATGTCTTCTAAAGAATCTGTTTCATTTGAAGTGTAATGCAATTGTCCTTGTTATGAAAAATGTCTAGTCTGGTGTTGGAAAGTAAACGAGAAATTAATCATCTTATTGATACTTTTCTGTTAACTTTTACCCTTCTAGAGTTCACCAAGAAATCCTACTAAGTAAGGGAATTGGCCATCTTCTCTTTGGCTTTTAACTGGCTTCTGAAAAGTAGCTGATGATAGGACCAGTAAGCTCCTTTTGCCAGTATTAAAGTAAATCATTTGCTATTATACTTTGAGAAAAATACTTTCTATGAATTTTTTGTAAAATTCTCAGAAAATTCTCATTATAGAAGTAATGAGGCTTGTAAGTAATTCAGACAGAAATAGCATAACTTGGAAGTTTTCCATAATCCCGGGGGAATATATCTGTATTCCATAGATATAATTGTTATTACTAGTTTAGTGTCTATTTTTGAAAACCCCGACTGTACCAGTGTTCTTTTTCTTAAATCATTCTAAAATGAGCATATGATAAAATATTTCAATCTTGGATATATCACTTTAAACAAAAAGTTAGTGGCTAAATCTACCCAAAGTAGAGTTCTAGTGCACTGGTAGCAGAGTTTTTGTGCCTTCTTGCAATACATTTCACCTGGCTTTGGAAGAAATGCCAATGATTAAGCTTCCAGTTTTATTTTGGACAGAAGTTTTTGTTTGAATCTTTTAAAGTTCTTTTCAGGGAACCAAATCAATTTGGAAATAAAGAGGGGAAAAATCAAGTAAGCTTTGTAAAGTTACTTTGTTTCTGCAGTCAGGTTTTTCAGAGTCCCATACGTTTGAAAATTCTCTTTGGGGAGGGGTTGTCAAGATACATTGAACTATTACCACTATTACAAAGAATTGATGTGTTACTGCTCATAGAGGAGATTAGTGAGGTAAATGGTCAGTCAGTTTTCAGGCATCACACTTTTCTAATTCCCCTTTAGGAGAATAGTAATGCTGGTGCTTCCTAGTACGAGATTAGTGGAAACAGCTATTTCTTATACCGGAGTTTTGCAAACAGCATGTTTAAATTGTGCTTACTCAGCCATTTAGCAGTCAATATTTTACAGATTGTTTAAGATTCCCTTTCAGCCAGTTTTTGTCTCACACTTAAGGTAGGGTTTCTTTTTTTCAGGTTCTCAGGAATTCTTCCGCCAAAGGTGAATTCTGCAGGTACACATAATTGCAACAGAACTTAACACAAATTTTGCCGCAGAATTCGAGAGGCCCCTGCTTCTAAGTTTATGTAGCTAAATGAATTCTTAGTTTTGCACACCTTTTTAAAAAATGCAACCTAAAGGTTTCTCAACATTGTGTTATTAAATGAAAAATACCTTGCCCCCAAATTTTGTATGCAAACTCCAAAACACCAATACCATTCCTAAGGCAGAAGGACTAGTTATTTTATTATAGCATTCAACCTGACAAGTTTTATAACTGGAGAGAGAACACAGACAGAAGCATTTATCAGATTAAGTTGTTTATATTTAGTCTCAGAACTAGCTGTTTCCTGGCCTAGGTTATGGTTTTTTTCCCCATTCTTTTGGACTCATTTATGTGCTTAGCTACATAAACTCAAAAGTTGGATTAAAATAGCTGTATTTTTGTGTAAACTGTTCATACCTGTAAGGCCGTTCTTTATAAGTGTGCAATTAGTGAATGTGAATACTTTATTCCACAGAAGAAGACGTTCTTCAGCATCCTTGTCTGGGAGTAGCTCATCATCCTCTTCATCTCGTTCACGGTCACCACCAAAGAAGCCTCCCAAGAGGACATCCAGCCCCCCTCGGAAAACTCGTAGGTTATCTCCTTCAGCAAGTCCTCCAAGGCGAAGGCACAGGCCATCACCTCCTGCAACTCCACCACCCAAAACTCGGCATTCCCCAACACCCCAGCAGTCAAACCGTACAAGAAAAAGTCGTGTTTCTGTGTCTCCAGGGAGAACTTCAGGTAAAGGTAAAAATCAAACACAGATGAAACATGTTCTCTCTTTCTTTGACTACAAAGCATAGTCAGTTACTGCACCTGCTTACTCTCAAAGTATAAAATAGCTAGATAATATTTGTGTCTGATACTCTCTGTAAGTTTGCTTATAGGCCTACCTCTTTCCTGCTTTAAAATCTTGGGGCTTTTTTATGTGTAAAAGCATTTTGTTTTTAGCAGTGCCCTCTGGCATTGCGCAGGTGGATAAATCTTTTACCAGCCGTGGGCTGTTTGAGTTGGGGTAACATATCGAAGTTTGCGTTGGCATGATAAGGGATCATTTTATTACTATGAGGCCAGTTAACTTTTTTTTCTCCTGAAGATTTTTGGTTTGATATCTTAAGTAGGAGGACTTCATATTCTCTTTTAGTTCTTTCTTGGCCGCGTTGCGCTCCCAAGCAAAGGACATGGTGTCCTCTTAAAAGCTGATTTGTTTTTTTTAATTTAGGCTCTAGGCAGGGTTCTTCTGAGTGTTGTCCTTGCTTTATTCTGCAGATTGATTTCTGAGGAATTTATGATCTGTGATCCTGCCAGGCAAGTAGAATGCTGTGTTAGTCTGAGTGAAGGTTGTGGTCTATTGGGGTTTGTTCTGTGAGCATTAAATACGCATGGAAAAAACTAGTGTCCATTTGAACCAGGCTCTCTGGAGCTTAGGGCTGGAATGATACAGCCTAAAAGGTGAGTAGTAAGGGATGGGAAGGATCTTAAAAGCTGCTATAGCAATTGAATTTTAAGGAGCAATCTGTAGGTTAACACATACTGGGGTTGTTATGATCATATTGAAAATTTCACGTTAGAGCCAGGTGTGGTGGCATGAGCCTGTAGTCCCAGCTACTCAGAAGGCTGAGGCAGGAAGATCACTTGAGCCCAGAAGTTCAAGGCTGGCTTCAGCACCGTAGCGAGATCCTGACTCTTAAAAAAAGAGAGAAAAAATTTCAGGTTAGAAACAAAGAAATGGGGATGCACAAAATTTTCATTATACATTTTAGTGAGCTTGATGAGATCGGCATTGCTAATTATTCACCCTGCTGCCTTCTCTCTCCACTCCCCAACGATGCAATGTGGTGATACCTAGGAAGGCAAATTTTGCTTTCCTTTTTTGTATCTGTGACAATGAGGCATAGATAAGCTGACAGAGTGAAAGGGTGACCAGCGGTTTATGGTAGTCTTTAAAAAGTAATGTTTTCTGAATTGTGACATTTTTATTGTAGTGATACATTGATTAAATAAGACATGGACATTTTTGTTGGCCCCTTATACAAGCAGCTAGTGAAAGTAGAGAAGCCTGTAACTGTTCCAGATTCAGTCCTCAGTTTGAGAGAGGGGCTTCAGGATCACTATTTCTATAACCTCATGTACCATACTGCTTTTCAGCATTGGGAAAATTTCAGTCCATTTTTAGTTACCATGTCCAAATCTGATGCCCATGGCCCTGACCTATTTTGTCTTTTCCTGTGAAGTTTGTACTTCTGAATATTTACTCTTTGTCTGGAGCCACAAAGCTCTCTAGGGAAAAAAACAAGTGTTTCCACCTGTTACTTTGCAAAAACACATCAAGTGATGATTTTTTTCTATTTTTATCATATAGCCAAAGAGTTGCAAAACTACCTGAACAGAGGGACCAATCTTTGTTAAAATACGTTGATTGTTAAGAATTATTAGGTACCTTTTAAAAAGCATATGCACAGATGCTAATTTCTTGTGTTTTGGCATATATTTTTTGCAAACAAGACAGAGTGGATATGTACATAGGAAAGAAGTAAGCCATGGTGAAAATAAGTAGTTCTGTGGGTTTTGGGACAGGGCTTCCATGTCCAAACAGCCTACTCAAAGAGAGGCGCTACAGGCTCTAGTCAGAGTCTCCCTTGTGACTACTGGAGCTGAATATTGGTTTGAGCTACTTGGAAATAACCTCTCCTCCACCTCCTCCCTGCTCCCCAAAATAGAGCCAGCATCTCACTCTGTCACCCGGGCTGGAGTGCAGTGGCCCAGTCATAGCTCATTGCAGCTTCCAACCCCTGAAATTACAGGTGTGAGCCACCACACCCGGCCCAGACATAACCTTTTATATTAAACTGATCCTAGCCCCCTATGATGAAATTTCGGAGCTAGAAAAGACCTTAACAGTTGTCAGCAAGAAACAGATTTTCAGGTTAGTTGACTTGGTCAAGGTCAACCAGCTAGGAATAAAACTTGAGTTGCCATTCCCAGTTAAATAATGAATACTTTTCCCAGCTTTCCTACCCCAGAATTCCTCTTTGATTGCTAAAGGTGAGAGGTGGAGGGCAGGGTTGAAATTGTTTAGCTTCTCTGTCTGGTAGTATAATTTCAGAAATTACTTTGCAGTTTCCACTACTTAGAACAGTAACATCATTGAAATGTAATAGATACTACAGTTATATTTTCTGTAGTGGCCACTAATCAGGGCCTTAGGGCTCTGTTCTTGATAGTGGGCAAATGGAGTGGGAGGGAGGCAGAAAAAGTGTTTAGGGGAACTTACAGGTTAATTATTTTAAAGAGAGTATACAGTCATCTGAAGGGATCTTAGGGGAAACATTTGTAATTATTGACATCTCGTTAAATTGACATTATCTTAGTAGTACATAAAATAGTGCTTTGAAATCAGTGGTACAGTCAGTGAAGTATGTTAACATGATTGATACTGGTGGTGGCGGTGTGGTAATTTTATTTAGATTAGCTTGGCCACATAAATTGTGCTCTCTATCTAGACACTTAATGGTTACTTTACTATTGCTGGTCACAGAATAACTTATCTTTGTAAGTGATCTTTTAGGCAGATCTAAGATTAATAATTAATAGGACTGTTGGAGTAAATTTAAAATTCTGGTTTTAAAGTTGCCTTCTACGTTGTCTGACTTCATGCTAGAATGATTTTGTCCCTTGAATACTTAAAATAAAACAACATTACCAAAAAGTAAATGGTGTAAAGTCTCATCTAGAAAAATAGAAATCTGAAGGGCTATTATAATATTAATAATGCTGATTCAATTGTATGAAACCAGAGTAGGAGTATATAAATGATCCTTGTTTGATGGTATAAAGTTTTCCTTTTTTGGAGACGGAGTCTTGCTCTGTCGCCCAGGCTGGAGTGCAATGATGCGATCTCGGCTCACTGCAACCTCTGCCTCCCAGGTTGAAGCGATTCTCCTGCCTCAGCCTCATGAGTAGCTGGGATTACAGGCGCATGCCACCACACCCAGCTAATATAAATGTATTAATAAAGACTACTTTAGCTAAGTAATTAGTGAGAAATTGAATCAGGATGCAACTCCAGATGTGTATTTCCATTGGGGGAAAATGTAAATAATGTTACAATTCACTGGTATTATATAATGAATAGGCTTTTGCCAACTATCTGGTAAGCATAACCACATTTTTAATGTTTCTTAGGGGAAGATGTGTCCAATCAATCAGCTTCCAAAGCAAGTTTGGGAACCCAGTTCTCTGAGGTGGTAACTTGGACATGCACTTTTTAACTAGATGCCCATAATATCTTTTCAGAAATTGAGGATTAAGTAACACTTAAAAATATGGACTTAAAAAAAGAGCCTCAAATAGTTAACAATATTAAAATATTTTATTTCTTTGGATTTGTTAAAATACAAGTATGAAATACAGTTTGCTATTTGCACTGTCATGATTCCTGATATCTAATTGAGTGATAGCCATTCTTTACCCAATCCAGTGATTTGTCCAAATGGCTTATTACGTAGAAATTTTAAGAAAAGTCGCTGGGCGTGGTGACTCACGCCTGTAATCCCAGCACTTTGGGAGGCCGAGGTGGGCAGATCACCTGAGGTCGGGAGTTCAAGACCATCCTGACCAACATGGAGAAACCCTGTCTCTACTAAAAATACAAAATTAGCCAGGCGTGGTGGTGCATGCCAGCTACTCGGGTGACTGAGGCAGGAGAATCCCTTGAACCCGGGAGGCGGAGGTTGCAGTGAGCCAAGATCGTGCCATTGCACTCTAGCCTGGGCAACAAGAGCGAAACTCCCGTCTCAAAAAAAAAGAAGAAAAGTCTGTTCATTGAAAAGGCATACCGGTAAATTCTTCATTTTGATTTCTTTTGCAAAGATGCAATTACTGTGTTAGATCACTGGTTCTCTAATTACTGCCCCTAGGAGTAAACCATTACAGAATTCTGAATGTGAATGTCTGTTAAATGAGATGTATCTGCATTCTGAGTAAAACATTCCATGATAATTGCTTTAATCACACAAAACAGGTATCAGGATCCCGAGGGGATCAAATTGTCAGTAGGTTTATTTCTTACTGAGATGTTCTCAAGTGGTGTTTCAGGTTAATCTATGGTATATATATGTTTATATGTGAATATACTTAACAATTTTAGTTGTAGCAATGGATAGATACTATAAGCAGAGATAGTTGTTCAGATCAAAACCCATGCCCTAAAAATAGACTCTTGAATTCACATCTTAGCTCAATTAAATTGTCTTTGTGACTGAGGTGAAGTTGCTTCTTTTTAAGCCTCAGGTTTCCTCTTTATGAAATGGAACAGGGAGAAAGGGATGTGATACTAGCATCTGTGTTAATAGTATGTCCGATACAGCAGGTTTACCAAAGGTAGTTACCATATTTCTATGTCATTGGCAAAAGACAATTGGATAATTCAGAGGATACCCACTGCTCTCCTACTACTTTAGCTATAGAAATGCCTTTTTTTCTTTCTAGCTTTTTGGAAAGAATTCTTGAGTCTTTGTATTTAATAATTTTTACCATTTGTGGCGGTCTGCTTTTTTTCATGGGTAGCTTAAATCCCCCGTGCTGTGGTGAAGATTATGCTCTACATAAAGAACCTTTAGTCTGTTGGGCAGCCATTCTTCTTTTCTAGACCAAATATCTTTGTGAAAGTTTCATCAGATCTTATTTCTTAATCATTTATCATCTTTTACTTTTCTGAACCCACCTATAGTGGTTGCTTAAAAGCTTTCATGTTGATGAATTCTCTGAAGTTGAGTGTGAGAGAGAGTGTGGGTGTGGAGGGTGTGTATTTTAGGTTGTGAAGTGCAAGTCGCACACAGAGGTTTACTTTACTGAGCTTGTTCTCCTCAGTAGCAGCTCCCAATTTCCCTTAAATGTTGGTTTTCTTGGGAGAATCTCAAGATTTGAAAATCATTGTAGAATTTCTTGAGGCTTTTCATTAAACAGTTAAAAAATTCTTGCCTCACTTCAGATAGTGTTCGGATATGACAAAAAGGTCTTACAGGAATTTTTTAATTCTTCATAAATTCTTTTTGAGAGTAGTCACACCCATTTTTGTAATAGCAGGAAGGCATCTTGGCTGGGTGCAGTGGCTCATGCCTGTAATCCCAACACTTTGGGAGGCTGAGGCAGGAGGATTGCTTGATGTCAGGAGTTTAAGACTAGCCTGACTAATATAGTGAGACCCCATCTTTATTTTAAAATAATAATTTTAGAAATTGAAAGAAAAGCATCTTGTCTAGACCTTTTTTTGTACATAAGCTTCTTTTCCACTCTTATTCTTTTTTAGTGACAAAACATAAAGGTACTGAGAAAAGAGAATCCCCTTCACCAGCACCGAAGCCTAGAAAAGTAGAGTTATCTGAATCGGGTAAGTTTGTTGTGTTTTTGTGGTGTTTTGTTTGTTTTTGTTTTGCTTTTCTTAAAGCTGATTTTGATTTTTTGCACATTTGGTCATCCCCTTCTGCTTGAAGATTAAGCATAGGATAAGAGCTAAGACTCTGAAGTCAGACAGACTTGGTTGGAATCTCCTGTTCCAGAATTTAATTGTTTCTGTTTTAATTATCTGAGCCTTTCTTCTTTCAGCTCCGAAATAGGGGCAGTAGAGGTTTTTGACAGTTAACTGTATCTGCTTATAAAATGCTTGGCACCCGCTTGACCTGTAATAAATGCCTGAATACATTTTATTGTATTTGGTGAAGATAGTCTAAATCAGCATGTGAATTGGCATTTTAAACTCTTTTTTTAAAAAAATATAGTAGTTGTATTTTTGTTCCAACCAAATGAAGGTTTGAGAGACTATTTTCCTATTCAAATTGCAAATTTTCTATATGCGTAACTAAAGAAACACTTTCTAAATGCATCCATCTTTCAGAAGAAGATAAAGGTGGCAAAATGGCTGCAGCAGATTCTGTGCAGCAGAGACGCCAATACAGACGACAAAACCAGCAGTCTTCATCTGGTATGGACGGTGATGAAAGTTTTTTTCTACCTGCATTTCCTAATAAATATTTGGTATATGAACATCTATGTGTGCAGCACGAGTACTTAACTTGCCTACATAGAAATCTGTCTGAGGAGGCAGGATTGTTTTCTTTTTTTGGTTTTAAGTCCTTTTGCAAAATTTAATCTTCTGTTACATTGTTATAAAAGTAATAGGCCCCGGCTGGGCACGGTGGCTCAAGCCTGTAATCCCAGCACTTTGGGAGGCCGAGATGGGCTCATCACGAGGTCAGCAGATCAAGACCATCCTGGCTAACACGGTGAAACCCTTTCTACTAAAAAAATACAAAAAACTAGCCGGGCGAGGTGGCAGGCGCTTGTAGTCCCAGCCACTCGGGAGGCTGAGGCAGGAAAATGGCGTAAACCTGGGAGGCGGAGCTTGCAGTGAGCTGAGATCCGGCCACTGCACTCCAGCCTGGGCGACAGAGCGAGACTCCGTCTCAAAAAAAAAAAAAAAAGGTAATAGGTCCCTAGTATACAATAGTGAAACAGAAGTATAAAATTGGAAAAGTATCGTTCTTTTTCCAACCTCCCAAAGCTTTTATTCAGAAATTTTATTCAGAAAAAGGAAAGAACCCCACAGAAGCTCAACTGTAGATATGTTGCCTCCCTTTTTAACTTAACAGTATATTTAGAACATCTTTCCCTATTAAAAATCTAGACTGGCCGCAGTGGCTCACACCTGTAATCCCAGCACTTTGGGAGGCCGAGGTGAGCTGGTCACTTGAGATCAAGAGTTCAAGACTATCCTGGCCAACAAGACGAAACCCCGTCTCTATGAAAAATACAAAAATTAACCGGGCATAGTGGCGCACACCTGTAATCTCAGCTACTTGGGAGGTCCAGGCAGGAGAATCCCTTGAACCCAGGAGGCAGAGGTTGCAGTGAGTGAGCTGAGATAGCACCACCGCACTCCAGCCTGGGAGCCTGGGCAACAGAGCAAGACTTTGTCTCCAAAACAAAAAAAGAAAAAGAATCTACCTTATTATTTTGCTATTTGCATTTTTTATTATAAGAACATACCAGGCTGGGTACGGTGGCTCACGCCTGTAATCCCAACACTTTGGGAGGCTGAGGTAGATGGATAACTTGAGGTCAGGAGTTTGAGACCAGCCTGGCCAACATGGCAAAACCCTGTCTCTACTAAAAATACAAAGATAGGCATGATGGTGCAGGCCTGTAATCCCAGCTACTCAGGAGGCACAAGCGATCTTTCTGCCTTGGCCTCCCAAGTGCTGGGGTTACAGGCGTGAGCCACTGTGCCCAGCCTAGACTTCTTAGGTTGTGCCATCTTGATTGGATTACACTGTGGAAATGATTTCTATGTCTTATTTAAATAATGAATATGCTTGGCTTTGAAATCATTGATCATATATTGATGATGATTCCGTTCAGAACTGATGGCCTATATACATGCTTGCTTGCCCTAGTGAACGCTCCATCCACCTAGATTTTGGAAAACTTGGACAGATTCAAGCACAAACCTAATGTAATATTTTTTTTATTGTGTAATTATAGACTCTGGCTCCTCCTCCTCCTCAGAAGATGAACGACCCAAGAGGTCCCATGTGAAGAATGGTGAGGTTGGCAGGCGGCGGAGACATTCCCCTTCCCGGAGTGCTTCTCCATCACCACGAAAGCGGCAAAAAGAGACTTCCCCTCGGTAACATCTTTTCTTCAGTGATGTTCACTGATGTTCTGTAATTGTGATGAAATTTGATAACTTGGGATTATTTGAGAATTTGATTAACTTCTTCAAGTATTTGGATATGGTTGGATTTTTGTTTGCTTTTTAGGGTTTTTGTTTTGTTTTTGCTTTGTTGGTGGTTATTAATATTTAATTTAGAACTGGTGAATTTTAAACCACCATGTCATATATGTGTGCATGATTAGAAAAATAAGCCAAATAATTATAACTTTAACTCCTGATCATCTTTGAATATTTAAAAATGTCTCCGTTAATGGTACTTAACCCACCCAAGTAAATAATTTAGTGAATGGAATTCTTGACATTTGTTTTTCTCCACTGCTCTCAGGATGCAGATGGGAAAGCGATGGCAATCGCCAGTGACTAAAAGGTTGGTTAGACACTACTTTGTAAATTAGGGTTACATGTCAAAAATTTTAGTGACTTAATTTCCTATTTAGGTGACCTCATCTCATTCTTAAATATATGGTGACTGTGGCTGTGGATGTGCAGATCCTAAGTTGTTTTGGTTTGAGTATTTTTTTAAACACGTTAGATTAATGATAGAATTATACATGAGCTATTTGGTTTAGACCCTCATTTGAACTTAGATTTTTAATATCTGGTTGTGCTCTTTTGTGATAATTTGCATCAACTTACATCAAGCGGCACATGAATTTTTAACAGTATCTGGATACTTTTCAAGACATAGGATTAATTGCTCCTTAGATTTGGCGGGAGGGACTTTGTATTTGTGGTGACATTAGGGAGGGCAGGAAAAACTAGGGAGAAACTTTAGAAATATTAAAAGTGAGAGGATCACAAGGTCAGGAGATCAAGACCATCCTGGCCAACATGGTGAAACCCCATTTCTACTAAAAATATAAAAATTAGCTGAGCATGGTGGCTCGTGCCTGTAATCCCAGCTACTCTGGAGGCTAAGGCAGGAGAATCACTTGAACCCAGGAGGCGGAGGTTGCAGTGAGCTGAGGTCACGCCACTGTACTGCAGCCTGGCAACAGAGCTAAACTCCGTCCCAAAAATAAGAAGAAGAGATAAAAGTGAATGGAAGGCTTTGGCCCTGTTCAGTCTTTTCAATAGTGGAAAGGTGGGTTGCATCTCTTTTTTTTTTTTTTTTTTGAGATGGAGTCTGGCTCTATCACCCAGGCTGGAGTGCATTGGTGCGACCTCAGCTCACTGCAACCTCTGCCTCACAGGTTCAAATGATTCTCCTGCCTCAGCCTCCTGAGTAGCTGGGACTACAGGTGCATGCCACCACACCCAGCTAATTTTTGTATTTTTAGTATAGAAGGGGTTTCGCCATGTTGGGCAGGCTGATCTCAAACTCCTGACGTCAAGTGATCACCCACCTCAGCCTCCCAAAGTGCTGCGATTACAGGCATGAGCCACTGGGCCCGACCGGCATATCTTTATTGAAACTTTTGATTATTAGTATCAGTGTGACCATAAAACTGTAAACTTTTAGAGCCAAATGCCTACTTCAGGCCTTAATCTCGTAAGTGAGAAGATAGAGGCCCCAATGTGGTAGTTTCTTAGGGCCACAAAGTGACAAAGTCGGATCTTAGACCTATACGTTTGACATTACACTAGTCTGTCTTAACCAGCTGTCTGCTTTTGGGGGTCTTAGCTGCCACTGAATTTTGAAGTGTTTATCCTTGCTGAAGCTATCCCACTATCCTTTTTGTAGCTCAGTTTTTGAAACTGTGTTGCTTTAGGTAATCTCATCAATAAGTGTTTTCTGGGAAAGGAACCAGTGAGCAGTGTTTGTGATAAAGCAAAGCACAGGGTATTTACACTGTGGAGGAAACTGCTGCATGATAATAAAAGACAAAAACCTAAAAAAGATTAGTTTGGCTGCTAAAGCATTCCTTTCCCAGCTATAACTACCTCTGACTTTTGTGAAGTTGCTGGCACAGCAGCTAAACAATTGCTTTACAGAGTTAGATTAGTGGTGCAATTTCTTCTCTTTGATCTCCCCTTCCCTCCCCGCCCCGCCCCACACACCAAATTATGGAACTACTTGTTGTTCTGGAAAGAGATTTCTCACAGCAGTAAAATCAACACTAACATTTATTGCTGTACTCCAGGATGTTTTTGTTTTATTTCTCGTCATTTAAAAAGTATTTTAAGTTATATACCAGCAGCTTAAAGTTTAATGCCATTAAAAATTGCCATCAGGTGCCTAGGATTTAGAGATGGAGGAAGGATTATTTGGGATTATGCTTCAGTATCATATTTTAGAAGGGGAGATGGAGGCTGGGTGCCGTGGCTCATGCCTATAATCTCAGCACTTTGGGAGGCTGAGGTAGATGGATCACCAGAGGTCAGGAGTTCAAGACCAGCCTGACCAACATGGCAAAAACCCCATCTCTACTAAAAATACAAAAAAGTTAGCCGGGCGTGGTGGTGCATGCCTGGAGTCCCAGCTACTCGGGAGGCTGAGGCAGGAGAATCGCTTGAATCTGGGAGTTGGAGGTTGCAGTGAGCCAATATTGTGCCATTGCACTCCAGCCTGGGCAACAAGAGCAAAACTCCATCCCAAAAAAAAAAAGAAGAGGCTCACGCCTGTAATCCCAACACTTTGGGAGGCCGAGGCGGGCGGATCACGAGGTCAGGAGATTGAGACCATCCTGGCTAACACTGTGAAACCCCATCTCTACTAAAAATACAAAAAATAAGCCGGGCATGGTGGTGGGCACCTGTAATCCCAGCTACTCGGGAGGCTGAGACAGGAGAATGGCGTGAACCTGGGAGGCGAAGCTTGCAGTGAGCCCAGATTGTGGCCACCGCATTCCAGCCTGGGCGACAGAGCGAGACTCCATCTCAAAAAAAAAAAAGAGAGAAAAGAAAGGGGAGATAAAGCCTGGTTTTGAATATTTGATATGTATTTAGTGTGAGGTCTTAGTCCCCACAAAGCATAAGCAGATTTAAGTTGAAAAATTTAGTGGTGAATTTTAGGATTTTGTCTGTTCAGTTAGCAGAGCTTTCTTAATTTCAAAGGGGAACCAAGACAAAACATAATTCCAGATTCACGGGAAGCATGAGTCCTGTCCTGGGCAAAAAAAAAATTAAGAGCTTGGAGCAGAGACATCCAGATTTGGGTCTTAAGCCACTTGTGACTATTGGCATTTTTGAATTTCTGTATTAGTCTCTAAAGCAGTTGATTCCTAGTAAGGAATCAGAATCACCTGGAAAGCCTTTCCCAAAAACACCTGGCTAGCTGGACCTTAGCCTAGACCTGGTAGACATAAATGTCACATAAGCTTCCCAGGTGGTTCTAATGTGCATCCCCAATAAAACATGTCAGGAATGTTCTGTATTGTGATCCAGAGTAAAACAAAAATTTCACAAAACAGTATTTACCCTTGTCACAAGTAAAACACTGGTTTTATTAATTGTTTTAATGCTGCCACCCAGGGTCTTGACTAACGGTCTTGACCTGTAGTTTGAAAAACACTGTTCTGAAACTTAGTAACCATTGCTGCCCTTGGGGTTAATGATAATTGAAACCGTGTTTTCTGGGTCACTGTAAATGCCACTGACTGAAAGTTAACTATAGGCCAGGCGTGGTAACTTACGCCTGTAATCCCAGCACTTTGGGAGACTGAGGCAGGCGGATCACCTGAGGTCAGGAGTTCAAGGCCAGCCTGGCCAACATGGTGAAACTCCGTCTCTAGAAAAATATTTTTAAAAATTAGCCAGGCACGATTATGGGTGCCTGTAATCCCAACGACTCAGGAGGCTGAGGCGGGAGAATTGCTTGAACCCAGGAGGTGGAGGTTGCAGTGAGCTGAGATCGTGCCATTGCACTCCAGCCTGGGCGACAGAGCGAGACTCCATCTCAAAAAAAAAAAAAAAAGAAAAAATTAACAGTAATTCTTCTTGGTTTAGTGGTAGACGGAGGAGAAGTCCATCCCCACCACCCACCAGAAGGCGACGGTCTCCTTCTCCCGCCCCTCCTCCTCGACGGCGCAGGACTCCCACACCACCACCACGACGAAGGTACTTTGTCAAATACGCTAACTGGAGCGTCTCCCAGACTCCCCCCACCCCTGACACATCAGATGAGTAACGGTGCTCACTTCATAACAGGGTTGGAGAGAGGCACAGCTCATGAAAACCCAATCATCATGCTTAGGAACTACAAAAGGATCTCTGAATCTTTCTGATTATTATATCTTATTAGAGTAAGCAGACTAGCATTGTTCAGCCAGTCATAAAAGATCACATATGATTCCATCTATATGAAAAGTCTAGAATACACAAATCTATAGAGATAGAACACAGATTAGGGTTGGGTGGACATGTGGATGGTAATGGCTGCAGAACTATATGAATATACTAAAATCATTTAATTGTATACTTTAAATGGGTAAATAGGTGGATTTTATAGCAGGTGAATCACATATTGTGATAAAGATGTTAATACATTGAAAGGTGGTATTGACTAGTAATTGCAAATAGAAAATTTAGAGATTCCTGTCAGATAGCTCTTACCTAAATAATCAAAGATAACATCCTCAATAAAACATACTGGCATCATGTATTTCCTGGATACTTCTGTAGTATGCTTACCAGTTATGCCGAACCTCAGTCTAATTATTAGGAAATATCAGAGAAACCCAAATTGAAAGTCATTCTACAGAATACCTGACCAGTATTCGAAAGTGTCAATCATGAAAGAACAATGACAGAAACAGTCACAGATTGGCAGGAACTAAAGAGATGTAGGGTCCTGGAGCAGAAAAGGGACATTCATTAGTGGAAAATTGGGGTTGTTTTGCTATTTTAGTAATACTGAGTTATCACTGAGGTTCATTTTATAGTTTTGCTAATTTTCTTATGGTTATATAAAATATTAGCATGGTGAAGTGGCAGATCTCCTATTTTTGTAGCTCTTCTGTACATCTACAACTATTTTAAAGTAAAAATTAACATTTAAGTTTTAATGGCATTGCTCGGATATGTTGCCAAGCAATGTAATGGCATGCTGCCACCTTTTTTTTTTTTTTTTTTTTTTAAGACAGTCTCACTCGGTCACCCAGGCTGCTGTGCAGTGGCACAATCTCAGCTCACTGTAACCTCTGCCTCCTGAGTTCAAGCGATTCTTCTGCCTCAGCCTCCCGAGTAGCTGGGATTACAGGCACCTGCCACCACACCCAGCCAGTTTTTGTATTTTTTGTACAGATGAAACCATGTTGGCCAGGCTGCTCTTAAACTCCTGACCTCAGGCAATCCTCCTGCCTTGGCCTCCCAAAGTGCTGGGATTACAGGTGTGACCAACTCTGCCCGGCCTGGCTGCCACTTTTGAATGCCTGTTATGTGCCAGGCAAAGAGCTAGGCGCTTTATATGCTTTACTACTAGTCCTCAAAGAGACCTTCCTTGATAGTTGGTATTGTTTGCATTGTTCAGGTGAGGAAATGGGAGTTCAGAATTACTAAATAATTGCCCAGATACAGTGATGAAACTGTACCCTACCACATTTCCAAAGTATATGGCCTGTTGTAAAGCTAACTCTGGGCAGGAATTTACTTTGATCTAAAAGTCTGCAAGATCCAAGAGGAAATTAGGCAGTTTGGCCTGATAAGTGGTCTTCTAAGAGAAAATGGAACAGTCTCTTTGAGGGGAGGTGGAAGTGTCTTTAAGGCTTGTGCAGTGAACTCTTTAATTATTCATACAGTGTCCAAATGCTAATTCAGAGAGGACACCATGTAAGAGACCTCTTTAAAGCACGGACTTCCTAAAGTGACCATAATAGAGTTTTGTTAATAGAGTTACTTGGTTATTATATAATAACTGATGTTCAGTTAATACAGTGCAAGATTCTCTTTCCAAAAAACATTGTTGATTTCGTATAGATGTTAAAAGACTTGATGAATTCACACCTTCTGAAAATTGCAAATTTGTTAATCAAAATGTCTTTTTTTTCTTTTTTATACTTAGTCCTGCAGACAAAGTGTCCTGTGTTGCAGTCAGCTGAGATAAACAAGTTTTATTGATATTTAAGTGAGAATATAAAGATGGCATGTTCACTTATAAATATATTCCCTTTGCCTAGTGCTAACTACAGTATAGTCAAACCTGCTGATTACTTTTCTCTTCATCCTGTTTCTGTATTTTGTTGAGCCTTTCGGCTTAATTATGTATCTTTTTCCTAGGACTCCTTCTCCTCCCCCACGCCGGCGCTCACCTTCTCCTAGAAGATACTCTCCTCCAATACAGAGGAGATACTCTCCTTCTCCACCTCCAAAGAGAAGAACGGCTTCACCTCCTCCCCCTCCTAAACGAAGAGCATCACCATCTCCACCACCAAAGCGGCGGGTCTCCCATTCTCCACCTCCCAAACAAAGAAGCTCCCCAGTCACCAAGAGACGTTCACCTTCATTATCATCCAAGCATAGGAAAGGGTCTTCCCCAAGCCGATCTACCCGGGAGGCCCGATCACCACAACCAAACAAACGGCATTCGCCCTCACCACGGCCTCGAGCTCCTCAGACCTCCTCAAGTCCTCCACCTGTTCGAAGAGGAGCGTCATCATCACCCCAAAGAAGGCAGTCCCCGTCTCCAAGTACTAGGCCCATTAGGAGAGTCTCCAGGACTCCGGAACCTAAAAAGATAAAAAAGTAAAAATATTTTATGCTTTTTCATTAGGAATACTTACATAGCTCTTTATATTTGGAAGCTTCCGGGCCCCCCCCCATATAAAAGGAATAAGTTATGAATATGAGCTTTTAAGTCAAACTTTAGGTACTATTTACAGATCCTGTTCCATTTTTGAGATAGTTCCTATGGCATAAGTTAAATGCCACAGGCTTTTAGTTGGTTCTTAGCAGTTATCAATTTGTTTTTAGGGGTATGCTTCCAAAACTAAACTTAAGTAAGAAATAGAACATTTCTTGTGTGTGATGTAAGGAACTGACATTACTAATCTTACATAAGAAGCATCATTAACAAAATGGATAGAGGATTATGAGGCTTTAGCCACCCTCTAGGAAACACAGGGATGTAAATTGGATATATGTTAGTAGAATCAACCAGCAATCTAAGTGGTATATTTGAAATTCATAACCTGGTTGTCCAGTGTAGTTGGTGGTTTTCTCATGTGAAGAGGTGTCTGTTCTCAATGCTGAATGTTTTTTCCTTTTTGTCTAGGGTTGCTTCCCCAAGCCCACAGTCTGTAAGGAGGGTCTCATCCTCCCGATCTGTCTCCGGGTCTCCTGAGCCAGCAGCTAAAAAGCCCCCAGCACCTCCATCCCCTGTCCAGTCTCAGTCACCATCTACAAACTGGTCACCAGCTGTACCGGTCAAAAAGGCTAAAAGCCCAACACCGAGCCCATCACCGCCAAGAGTATGTGTCTGCCTTATTTTGGACACCCTTTTATAAATATGTATGTGGTCACTTTGAAGCAGAGAAAATGTCATTGGGGCATTAAAATATTAGTGTTTAAACTTTTTTTCCCATTTGTGAGTTATATATCTGATCTTGGGCAGGTTTCTGTATTGCATAAAATCAGTGGTTAGATGTCCATCTGTTTTTTGTTTGTTTTTCGAGACAGGGTCTCAGGCTGTCACCCAGGCTGCGTGCAGTGGGATGATCATAGCTCACTGCAGCCTTCCTGGACTCAGGTGATCCCTTCGCCTCAGCCTCCCAAGTAGCTGGGATTACAGGCATATGCTGCTACACCTGGCTGATTTTTTGTTTTTAACTTTTTGTAGAGACAGGGTCTTGCTGTGTTGACCAGGCTGATCTTGAACTCCTGGCCTCTAGTGATCCTCCTGCTGTGGCCTCAGATGTCCATATTTAATTGGGTTGACTGAATAGTTGTGCAAGCTAACTTGTGAGGAGTTTTAAGTAATTGCTTGGAAGTGTGAAATTGAAATATTATGGATTAAATTATAGGAGCCTGCCTTTTACATAAATTTGGTATGTGTGTCATGAGGAAGAACCAGTCATCCCCACTCTAAAGATAGGAGAGCTCAGATGGTAGCTAGAGACATGGCATTCATACAGGCATGTGTTTAGACTAATGGCGGGTACCATTTATTAAAAGTCTGATACACGTTAGGCAAGTATTGTGGGTGATTTACAGATATTCCCATTTAATTTTCACAAGAGCTTTATCAGGTAGGGATTATTACACTTATTTTAGGTAAAAAGGTCTCAGAAAAAGTTCAACAATTTGTCTAAGGTCAAATAGTTCAGGAGCTGGAATTCAGCTCATCCTGGAGATAGCCCCTGACTTTGAATACCTTTCTTGGTGATAATTGGCCTTGGGTCTTCCCCGCTCACACCCTCCAAAGCCTTTTGGAAATCTTGAGATTTGTCCATTGGGAATTTGGGGAAATAAAATGTTCAGTTGGACAGAATATTAATCAGATTGATTATAAATGCTGGGTGTTTTTTTGTTTTTGTTTTTCCCCCTTCCTAGAATTCAGATCAAGAAGGAGGTGGAAAGAAAAAGAAGAAAAAGAAGGACAAGAAACACAAAAAGGATAAGAAGCACAAGAAGCACAAAAAACACAAGAAGGAAAAGGCTGTGGCTGCAGCTGCTGCAGCTGCTGTGACCCCTGCAGCCGTTGCAGCTGCCACAACCACATTAGCACAGGAAGAGCCGGTGGCAGTGCCAGAGCCGAAGAAGGTATTTATGAACTCTGTGTATGGCTCTCTTGCAGTATACGTACAGATAGCAAAGTCACTTTATTTTGAGAAGTAGCAAAATTGTTTTTTCTACTAATTGACTACTCTGAGATAAAATTCACACACCAAACAGTTCAGCCATTTACAGTTTGTGGTTCCCTGGGTTTTAGTATATTCAGTTGTCGGCCATCCCCACACTTTGATTTTGCTCTTTACTCAGCATTTCCCACCAGTGTCTTAAGACTTAACCAAGTAAATTCTGTTGTTGTTTTTTTTTTAGGAGACTGAAAGTGAAGCTGAAGATAACCTTGATGATTTAGAAAAGCACCTGCGTGAAAAGGCCCTGAGATCAATGAGGAAGGCCCAAGTGTCCCCACAGTCTTAGGGGGAAATGTTTGTTATGATGTAAATTTTATTTGGTTTGTACGCAGTTCAATTTCAAAATTGCTAAAATGTGTTTGAGCTTTAGACTATAACATTTGTTGTAATAATTGCTAGGTTGAAGTTCACCATGTAAAAAAAGGGGGCATGGATTTACATTGCAAAAGGTGTCCACAGTGTATTAGTGACATTCTTTCATTGACAGCTGACATAATTCATTGAGTGAAATAATTTAAGCCAAAAAAAATTCCCTTTTTAAAAAAGGGGGTTTAAATACTGTTGGCATTTTTATGGTTCCTTTAAATGCCCTGGCTATTCCTAGAGGGGGTTTTTTGTTTGTTTTTTTGGTTTTGATCTTCTTTTTGTTTTTCTTTCTTCTTCTTACATTTTTTTCATTTGAGTCTTAGCTCCCATTTAAGTTATGCTACTGACCTTGTATGGTCTGTAAGCTTGCCCAGAAATAAGACCACTGTTTTGAACTACCACAAAAGTATAAATGAATATTTTAATGCCACCATCTTTCCTGTTGCCTGTGGAGTCTGCTGAAATGAATCAGGATTCGAGCTCTAGGATGAGACAGAAAATGAAAGCATGTTGTTTGCCAGGACACTGTGGGTTTATATGGATGTGTAACAAGTTGATTTGGAACACTGGACTCTCATTCTGTTCTTCTGGTTTTGTTTTTTTGTTTTGTTTTTTTCTTTTGTAAAGGCAATGAGCTAGTCCCAGAAAGGATCCTTCAGTTACATACAATTTGTTTAATGAAATGTCATGGCTCTGTTCATATCTTTGTCTTGTTCTTCCGATTGGTATATACAAGTTTCAGAGCTCTTGTATTTGGAAGGCTGGAAGGGCCCAGACTTTGGAATAGTGTCTTGGTTTCACTGTTTTTGTTTTGATTTTTTTTTTTGTTTTGATTTTTTTTTAAACTAAAGCTATATAAAGCTTGTGGATTAAACAGAATAAATTTCTAAATTTAAAAATTTTGCCACTCACTTTTACTTACTTAATAGTGCCTGTGTAAACCCTTTGGTGTGTTGGAAGTTGGGTAAGGGAAAGAAAAGTGATGAAATTAAGGTTTTACCATCTTTATTTCAGTAATTACTGTTGTGAGTGCTGTAAAGGGAAAGTCTCAGCGTGTGATTGGAACATTTAGAATACTGGTGGGAGAAGTCCACCAGGCAAAGGGAAGAGCATTGCAGTCAGTGTCTGTGTATTCCCTGAGGCAGAAGGAGCCTGGCATGTTAGCAAGTGAACAAAGGCTAAGGAATGACTGAACACCCTCTGTCGGCGTTGTGTGAGTGTGTGTGTGCGCGTGCACGTGCACGCTCGTGCTTAATATTTGGCTATGTACAACCAAGTCTGTTTTGCATTTAAAACTCAGTGGAACGAAAATTTGGGGAAACTTGGCGTTGTTAACATAGTATGAGGTAAAACAGCAACATCCGTATGAAGGAAGTTCACCAGAACTGAGCAGGTCGACACATGTATGGTTTGATTATAAGTTCTGGCAGTTGAAGCAAAACAAGGAAGAAAATGCCTACAATCTTAATTTCTTTCTTTCTCTTCTTTTTTTTTTTCTTGAGATGAGGTCTCACTGTGTCGCCCAGGCTGGAGTGCAGTGGTGTGATCTCAGCTCACTGCAACCTCCACCTCCTGGGTTCAAGTGATTCTCCTGCCCCAGCCTCCCGAGTAGCTGGGATTACAGGCGCCCACCACTACGCCAAGCTAATTTTTCATATTTTTAGTAGCGACGGGGTTTCACATCTTGGCCAGGCTAGTCTCAAACTCCTGACGTCAAGTGATCCACCTGCCTCGGACTCCCAAAGTGCTGGGATTATAGGCATGAGGCACCACACCCGGCCATAATGCCATAAAAGGCATACCAAAATTAACATGTCCAAAATAAGATTTTTAATACTATCTTCTGATCTCAGTCCATTTCAGTACCTGTCACTGTCATTTCTTCAAAATTGAAGAGTCCTTATAATCAGTGGCCATACTGTCTACTCCCCAATACTCTTGCATGCTGTTCCCTACAGCCCAAGTCACATCACAGGTGTGCTAAAATCCTCAGAAAGCAGTTTCAGAATAAAACAAAAATTTCTTACTATGGCCTGTAAGGGCTAAAATAGGATTGGGCCAAATCTGCTTTGGTAACTTTATTGTCACTCAGCAGTCTACTCGAGCCATGCTGGCCACCCTGTCTTCCTTTTTTTCCAAAAAGCTGACTTCTCTTTCAGAGACTTTTGTACCGTGCCCATGGTTCTTTATCCTGGAAGGCACTCCTGGTCTTACTGCTTGTTTCTTTACTTGGTTTGCCTCAGACACTTCCCCAGTTCCCTCTCCTTTGTTTTCATGGATGTCAACTTTTGCTACCTAAAATTATGCATTTACTACCTAAAATAATGCATTTGCCACCTAAAATGATGCATTTTTGCTCGCTAGGAAGCTGGTCTTATTCTTGGCTATTTCCCCAGTGGTACAAACCAGTGTACCACGGTACACTGTATTCCAGTGTATTCATTCGAGGAATGAGTAAATTTAGTTGTCATTGCATCCATACTGGCCAGATACTACTAGAGTTTGAGGTAAAGTGAAGAGGCCAGACGCAGTGGCTCAGGCCTGTAATCTCAGCACTTTAGGAAGGACGAGGTGGGGGTACTGCTTGAGCCCAGGAGTTTGAGACTAGCCTGGGCAACATAGGTGACCCCCCTAAAAATTAGCTGGTCATGGTGGCATGTACCTGTAGTCCCAGCTACTCCAGAGGCTGAGGAGGGAGGATCATTTGAGCCTGGGAGGTCAGGGCTGCAGCAAGCAGTGATTGTGCCATTTCACTGCAAAAAAAAAAAAAAAAAAAAGATGATTGCTGTCCTTAAGGAGCATCCACCTACTGGGTATGCAGACATGCAGACAATTTGCGGACTGCACACTGAGTCTGGTGAACCAGGATTTCTACCATAGCTTCTACTGTATGGTCTTGGGCAAGTTACTTGACCTTGAAGTGATGCCATTTCCTCTTCAGTGGAAATGATGGAATCTACCTCAGAGTTTTTGAAGATTTAAATGTGTCAGTTAATACATATAAAGCAATGATACCAAAAGACAGCTTCCCATTCTAACATGACATAGCCATTCTTGTAATTATGGCAAAGTTTAGTTTAGATGACAAAAAAGTATTTTAGATCAGCCCCATGTAAGGCAATTTTTTTTTTTTTTTAAAGATTTAACTCACATGTCATAAAATTCACCATCTCAGTGGTATTCAGAGGTTATGCAACCTTCACCAATATCTGTTCCAAAATATTGTCGTCACCCCAAAAAGAAACTTTGTGCTCATTAACAGTCACTTCAATTACCCTGACAGTTCTTTTAGCCCCAGCCCCTGGCAAGTACTTTGCTATCTATAGATTTGCCTATTCTGTACATTTCACTGAAATCATACAATATTGGGCCTTTTGTCTGGCTTCTTTCACTTAGCACGGTGTGTTCCAGGTTCGTTCACGTTGTAACAGGCATCAGTGCTTCATTTTTATTTTTATTTTTTGAAACAGGGTCTCTATCTGTCACCCAGGTCAGAGTGCAGTGAGGCAGTCATGGCTCACTGCAGCCTCGACCTCCCAGTCTGAGGCAACCCTCCCACCGCAGCCTCCTGAGTAGCTGAGCTTACAGGCATGCGCCACCATGCCCAGCTAATTTTTGCATTTTTTTCAGTACACATGGGGTTTTACCATGACGTGTCAAACTCCTGGACTCAAGTGACCCACCTGCCTCAGGTTCCCAGAGTGCTGGTGTCAGAGGTGTTCAAACCAGGGCAACTCCATCTTGAATAGGGGCTGGCTAAAATAAGGCTGAGACCTGCTGGGCTGCATTCCCGGGAGGTTAAGGCATTCTTAGTCATAGGATGAGACAGGAGGTTGGCACAAGATACAGGTCACAAAGACCTTGCTGATAAACAGGCTGTGGTAAAGAAGCTGGCCAAAACCCGCCAAAATCAAGATGGTCATCCTCATTGCTCATTATATGCTAATTATAATGTATTAGCATGCTAAAAGACACTTCCACCAGCACAGTGACAGCTTACAACTTCCGGAAGTTACCCTTTATGGTCTAAAGTGGGGAGGAGCCCTCGGTCCTGAGAAATCCATGCCCCTTTCCTGGAAAACTCATGAACAATCCACCCCTTGTTTACCAATAATCAAGGAATAACTAAGTATACTCAGTCGAGCGCCCATGCCGCTGTTCTGCCTATGGAGTAGACGTTTTTTATCCTTTACTTTCCGAATAAACTGACTTTATGGACTCACCCTGAATTCTCTCTTGGGGTCTGGATCAGGACCCTTTTCCGGTAACACTGGGATTATAGGCGTGAGCCACCGTGTCCAGCCACTTCATTTCTTTTTACTGTTGGATAGTATTCCCTAGTTTGAATATACCATGTTTTGGTTATCCATCAGTTGAATATTTGAGCTATTTCCATCTTCTGGCTACTAGGATAAAGCTGCTATGAACATTTGCATATAAGTTTCTGTGTAAGCATATGCTTTGATGCTGTTGGATATATGTGCCTAGGATTTGGAATTTCTTGGAATTGCTGGGTCATGTGATTGTATGTTTAATGTTTTTAGGAACTGCACCTTTTTTTTTGAGATGGAGTTTCGCACTTGTTACCCAGGCTGGAGTGCAATGGCAGTATCTCGGCTCACTGCAACCTCCGTCTCCCAGGTTCAAGCGATTTTCCTACCTCAGCCTCCTGAGTGCTGGGATGACAGGTGCCCGCCACCAAGCCTGGCGAATTTTTGTATTTTTAGTAGAGACGGGGTTTCACCATGTTGGCCAGGCTGGTCTTGAACTCCTGACCTCAGGTGATCCACCTGCCTCGGGCTCCCAAAGTGCTGGGATTACAAGTGCCCGCCACCGCGCCTGGCCGCAGCTGCACCATTTTACATTCCTACTATCAGTGTATAAGGATTCCAGTTTCCCCATGTCCTTGTCAATATTTGTCATTATCTGTCATCTTGATTATAACCATCCTAGTGGGTGTGAAGTGCTATCTCACTGTGTGTGATATGCATTTGCCACATGGCTGGTGATGGTGAGCATCTTTTCACGTGCTGGTATTCCTCAATGCCATTTTAAGCTGATTTGTATCTGCATGAACATGTTTCTGAAGTTGTGGGTATAGGGTTAGATCCAGGGCTGGGTTCAGAGTCTGTAGAAGAGAGCTGATGGTATTTGTAGTACTCTCATACCCATATGTGGAGGTTGGAGATAGGGAACTATGGCCAAACCAAAATGTGTTCCCATTTTATAAACAGGATCAGGAGACTCAGGGAGAGTGTGACTTAAGGTAACTGGTAGGTGCACTTCTAATTAATATTGTCCCTTTACCATCTGGTAAAGAACCCAATATTTTCAGCTGGGCGCGGTGGCTCACGCCTGTAATCCCAGCACTTTGGGAGGCCGAGGCGGGTGGATCACGACGTCAGGAGATCGAGACCATCCTGGCTAACATGGTGAAACCCCATGTCTACTAAAAATACAATTAGCTGGGCGTGGTGGCATGCGCCTGTAGTCCCAGCTACTTGGGAGGCTGAGGCGGGAGAATTGCTTGAACCTGGGAGGCGGAGGTTGCAGTGAGCTGAGATTGTGCCACTGCACTCCAGCCTGGGCAACAGAGCAAGACTCTGTCTCAAAAAATAATAGTAACCCAATATTTTCCTCAACATAGCTGTCCAACTTCTAGTATTGTAACAGTCTCATAAGATAGTGAATGTAGGGTGGGGCATGTTGTCTCACATCTATAATCCTAACACTTTGGGAGGCAAAGGCAGGTGGATCACTTGAGCCCAGGAATTTGAGACCACCCTGGGCAACATGATGAAACCTTTCTCTACAAAAATACAAAAATTATACAGGCATAGTGGTGTGCGCCTGTAGTCCCAGATACTCGGGAGGCTGAGGCAGGAGCATCACTTGAGCCTGG